CCCACAAAAAAAAAAAAAACCCCCCCCCAAAAAAAAAAAAAAAAACCCACCCCCAAAAAAAAAAAAAACCCCCCCCCCCAAAAAAAAAAAAAAACCCAACACGAATATCAACCTGTCCACCGGCAGGGCTTCGGAGCTCAGAGGCATTGCAATAAAATTTACGGCGTCCTTAACAACTCCCAAGTAAAAGCATTAAAATTCCCTTTAATTGAGAAAACATTGATTTTTAACTCTGGGAAGAACGAACCCGTAATTTAATTGCAAACTTTCACCGACAGAGCAGCATCTCAGGGAGGCCACATTCCATCTTTAATAGAGCCACTTTATGAAGTGATAAAAACAAAGAAAACCTGACAAACAGAGAGACAGCTGCAATTGCGAAAGAAAAGTTATTTGCCTTCTCTTTCCCTCTTCGTAGCTCCAAATTATCGCACTCTTCCCTCCCCTTTCACCCCCCACCCCCCGATAACAAAACACAAGTGTAAAAGCAAAGGATTTGGGGTCCGGGGGAGAAGCAGTAGTTCATATTCTAAATAACGTTTGCCTTTACCAGGCAAGGAGTGATGCCAAGAGGTTTAAGGGAACATTTCACAAAATGGTAGCCTTTTTAAAAAAGGAAAGTAATCGGATAGAATTTCCTTACTTTCCCTTGTTCGTTAAAAAAAAAAAAAAATCCTTGCTGAGGGGGAAGGAAAGGGAAATCCCACCCTCGCTTTCTATCTTATTTCTGTATCGGTTTTTGGTATTATAGGAGAGTAAAGAAGTTTTTGTTTGGTGGTTTTTCATTGATCAGTCACTCTGAGCTAATGTAATTATCCTCATCAATAGAAGGCTGCAGAGAGAATCATTATGTGGGTGACATTGATAAATGATCACCCAAGAGCTGCCTTTTCTCTTGGGCACCCCCACATATGACCCTCCCACATACACAAGGTAGCCATAGAAACACCTTGAGATCCTCAAACACTGCTGCAAATGGGAGAACACAGAGAAAGCGAGAGAAACCCAACTTCACACACTTTCTGTCCCTCCTGAAGCCTCCCTCCCATAGCACGGAGCCACCGAGCCGGGCTCCGCTCTGCCCCGCGGCCGCGCAGCTCCGGCCCCGCTCCCGGCACCACAATTAAGCATTTGGGGGGTTGGGGGCGTTAAGGGGCTCCCTTCTTTTCTCCTTCTCTCCCTCTCTCTTTTTTTTTTCTTTCTCTGGAAGAGTTAGGCAATGAGGTTGCAGGCACCGCATGGATGTGCTGCTCTTCCTCTACGCGCATTGTGGAACCCTCTCGTTTGAAAGTGGCTCCCAGAGATGCGCAGCTACAATATCCCCTCTCCCCTGTAGCGCGTCCCTGACAAAATGGACAAACCCCAATTATTAGCAGAGATTATTTTTTTTAAGCTACGGGACGAAGAAGATTCTGTATTCCTTGCTAGGGCAAAGATTAATGCTTTTTTCCGGCCGCAGACCCTCTTTTTATGTAAGCAAATTCTAAAATATTGAGAGCAGTAATTGATTCATAATGATCCATAAATCGATGCAAGGAAGGGGCCGAGGGTGTTTATTTATTTTATTCCTAAAGCTGCAAGTAAAGTAGCTTTGACACCGTGCGGGGATGAAGGGGAGGAGTTGTTTAGCCGTGCGGGGTCATCCATCATCACTGTCGCAGAGACTCTGCCCAGAGGAGCAACCTCCCTTCTGTCTGCCTCTTTCTCGCCACCAAAACTATTAATATTAAAATCCGCCCGCAAACCTTTCCCCCCACCCGCCCCGAACCTCGCACCGTCCTTCTCAGCTCAGGGATGCGGGGTTTCCCCCGCGCGGGAGCGGGCTCGCCCTTCCTCCGCGCCATCGGCTTGTATTTTTCCCCAAAAGTGCTGTCAGGAGAGTGAAACCCCCGGCCCCCTTCTCCTCGGGGGGTGGGGGGGTGGCAGGGGAGACCCGTCGGGCAGAGACACCCCCCATCCCCGCCGCCCCCGCGCCCGGAGCCCTCTCCTGCCCCTCCGCGCAGCGCAGCGCGGGGACGCGGCCGCGCCTGGGAAAGGGATTGGGGCACATGGCGGGGGTTCCCCCCAGCACACCGGCCCCAGAGGGGCGGCCGGCGGACCCTCGCTCCCCCCGGGAGGCGGTGGGAGCTGCCGGAGCGACGGGCAAAACACCCCGCCGGGAGAGCGGGTCCAGCCGGTGCCTCCGCCGCACCCCATCCGTCCCCGGCCCCTCCCGGCCCCCGGGCCCCCGCAAACCTGGTCTGGGGCAATTTTCTCTCCCTGGCTCTCTCTGCGGCTTACGAGTGAGAGGGGGCAGCGCCCGGCTCCCCCCCCGGCATCTCCTCTTCGGCCCCGCGGTGCCCGCTCGCCTCGGCGGGCAGGGCTCGGGCGGCCGCGGCGGCGGAGGTGGGCTCCCCTCCTCTCTTCGCTTTAACGGCAGCAAAATCTGGAAGAAAAATCCCTCGGTTGTGGTGACTGCGACTTCCAGCCCAGACCCGCTCGGAGAAATGGAAATTCGGGATTATAAACATGTGTGTGTGTAAACAAAAGGTGTTTCTTCTGTTACCCTTCGTTTCCCACAGCATAAGCAATTTTTATTCAGACTAGAGTATTTTCTTTAACACTATACCGCTGTCAAAACATTATTCCCGTTTTGGTTGCTTTTGACAGCTGAGCAGTTCTTAAAAATACCAAAATCGGAACCTTCCATGCTAAACAGTAAATCTCAGATGGAGAAATCTCTGCACGTTATTGTACCTTGGATTTCAGCAACACATCTCACGGAGAGCACAGCCCAAAAGGAGGGGGGAAAGGAAAGAAAATAAAAGACAACACAGCATTGCAAATATTTAGTTCATTATAAAAAACAATATTCTACTACGGATAAAATCTTCCCTGTCCTTCTACCAGTGCCAGGAGGTTTTCTGACATTTCTCCTCAAATTGTACAGAAAAGATCTGCAAGGAAATAAAGTACTGACTAAAAATAAAAAGAAGAAGAAGAAGAAAAAGAAGCCTCTCGTTTAAAGTGCTAACACAAACAATCTTGCCGTCATATTTTCTGCATCCACAATAATCAGAGAATTTGGAAAACGGGAACCCGGGCTGTGCTCTTCTTACACGACTGAAGGGTCGATGTGATTTTAACCAGGAGAGAGAGCATCAAAGCCAAGCAGTGAATTATCATCCTTTAAATTTCATACGAATGCCTTAAAAAGACGCCCACAAAGCAGGACCCGACTGCTAAATAAATCCTCACACCCATTCTACTGGCATCCTCCTTCTGTCGCCAGCAGCGTGGGTCCATTTACTCAGCTCAGAAATTAAACATTAACTACGAGGCTGAGCCTCTTTCCACATTCCAAAGGTAAAAGTTGTCAGTCAAAGTTTTTAATAACACCCCGGCCAGTTGGAATGAGGAGGAGGAGAGGGACGGAGGAGAAGAGTTACAAATTTACAGATGTTGAAGTTGGTAACGTTTGTTTCCTAGAAAGTTAAGGTAATTACAAGCCCTTATCCACTCCTCTCCTCCCAGAGCTTTCTCCTGCTCCTCGGGCCCCATCCTGCCCTCACTGACTGAGCGGTGCCACTGAGGGCAGGGAAGGGTGGCCGTGGCACACAGCGGTGATGTCTTCCTACTTCAAACTCTCCTTTAGTTGCTTCAAAATGCCACTAGATTTCGTTTAAGTAAAACCAAACCCTCACCCATGATTCTACACCAGCTGTTTATACACAAAATGTCAAACATTTTCGCTCATTGCTGATGGACCTTTTTTTTTCCTTCTGAAAATAATTGAAGCAAAGCAAAGCAGTAAAGCTATCTCAGAAGCTAGATTATGCAGTCCTCACACAGGTAAAACTCTCATTAAACTCAAAGCTGCTCTTCTCCTCCTAAAAGTTCCAAAACTACTCCTGCATCACAGCCCTTCTTGCCCTGTGAGCTAAACAGCTGGAGCTAAGGCCTGTGGTGGTTACGGATGCACATACATGTACACTTAACACTCATGGGCCTACTGGTGTGTCTGGGCCTTCACAACTCAAACTCAGCACAGATACTAGACACAGCTCTCTGAAATACAAGCTGGTGAAAGAATATTTCAAATGTTGTTTAATCTGGCATAAATATAATATCGATAATCAGCAGAAATATATAACCTCAGATGTTCTTTCACGCAATTATTCTATTAATGCCGATGACAAGCTTGCTTTTGATTTTTCCAACCTTTCTTCTCAATACCGACAAGGAATGTGTTTGAGACATCTCTCCCAATAACTTCAGTTTCTCCTAAGCATGATTAAAAACACAAAAGCCTAACAAAAAATCAAAAATGAAATATTTATTACCGCATTTTGTGACTTAACACCTTTTTTTTTTTTCTTTTTAAAACATAACGTCACAGTCCTCATACAAGTATTTTAATGTAAATTTTGACAAAGCTTAAAGGTAACAGCATTTTCTTCTAGTGAGGAACACGTGCTGAGAAAGGAAGAATTCATGGACATACAATACCAATTCCACAGCAGATCTGATACTAGCAAAAACATTCTTTTTTTTTTTCAATTGAGGTAAACACATAGAATATCTAACATGAAACAATTAATAGACCGAACTCTGTACGAAGTTTGTTACAGTATTCTCTTGCTTTTTTTTCCCAAGCTTTGAGTTCATGATAAAGTCCTAGGTTTGGTGCAAAGACCGTTAGTAACTTCTTTCATTGAGGAAAGCTGCCCAACTTTTAGTTTTGTTTTGTCCAAAGCCAAGGCTCAGAACTACTGGAAGAAGCTCCTGCTCTCTCTGTTCTGTCTTTTAAATCTTCACCTGCGAGCTCTTTGAAGAAGAGTCCAAAAAAAAAAAATAGATTGGGGAGGAATGGGGAGAGACTTAATGAAGCACAAACTATAAAGATCTGTTTGAAACTAAAGGACACATTTTATGAAGGAACAAAACGAGGGAATGGCAAGGCCTTCTTGGAACAGTCTTCTGAGTGGTGAGAGACCCAGCAAGACTTTTCGTCTTCATCT